AGAAGCTAAATACACAAATTTAATAAAATGATTGAAAATATAGTGAGTTTAATTGAGTATAAATTAGTATTTTTAGAACCGATAACCCGATTAGTATCCGAAACCGAAACTATTTCGGGTTCAACCGGATCTTGGACATGTTACTAAACCCGAACCGAACCCGACTAAACCCGAACCGAATCCGACCCGAATTTTTATAGTATCCGAATGGGGCTGAAATTCACGAACCCGAAAACCCGAAACCCGAATGAACCCGAACCGAAACCCGATTGGGACCCCGATTGCCCAGCCCTAGTGGCAAAGGTTCACAAAAAAGATAACAAAAGGTTGTCAATGCTCATAAATATATTAACACTAAAAACGTAACATTAAACAGAAGTCAGGATGGCCGAGTGGTCCAAGGCGCCAGACTCAAGTTCTGGTCCTCGAAAGAGGGCGTGGGTTCAAACCCCACTTCTGACATTTATTTTTTCCATTGAAATTCTTACTTTTTGTCGTCATTTTTCCATTTAAATTCACTCGTTTTTTTTTGGACATCAAATTCACTCTTCATAATATGTGAACTATGAGGATAATTTCCAAAAGTCAAGTTCATGTATGTTATATTTTTATGTTTAAGAAGTCTCCTACACTTGCATAATTTACTCGGGTATACGCTTTTGAAACTAACATTCCACCATTTATTCTAGAAAGAAACAAAGGCAAACCCACTCCAATTATTGAAGAAACGGTGAGAAAAGTTGCTTAACTATTTATCATGATAGAACCGTACCCGTTAACCAACATTTAACGAACCAAACCGCTTAACTATTTATCTAATCCGTGTCCAACACCGACCCAGCTGACGCCAAATCCGGAGCTGTCCCATCGCCATTATACTGCTGAATCACCAGAACCGATGCTTTTGTCGGAGATTCCGCCGATATCAACAAACTCCCAACAGGTCCAAGCTCTGCACACTCACTGTTCTCCCTAATCGCCAATGCGATCTCTCCACCTGGCATTCTACCAACCAAGAACAGATTACTCCGCCGCATCTCCTCAATCGCCGATCTAACATCCACGACAGCGTTTTCCACTCGCTTCTCCACCAACTTAACCGATTCATCCACTGATGACTTCTTCCTGATTTCAGACATAACCTCCTCATCGGACTTAATGTTTTTCCCATTCTCGTTGTTGTTGTTGCTATTAACCTCGACACGTGTAATCTCTCCGACTCTCTCCGGCGATGTCACGAACCAGAAAATGGTTAATGATATTCCTGGATGCTCCGCCATGCGTAACCCATACGCCAAAGCTTCACGATCGTCGCGACCACCGAAGAACAAAACCACAACTGAGTAAGAAACGTCCTGAGCCGAGACTTGGCTCGAGCCACCGAGTCCACGGTCAACGAATATCCCAACGGAGCAAGGAGCTTCCACCAACACCCTCCGGTTAACCCAACGGTAATCACCACGCGTCGTCTCCAACGAGCCATCGAGCTGTTGGTGTTTGTGGAACGGTAGAATCACAATCGACGCTCTTTTTCTAGCTGCTGTCGTGCAGATGTCTTCGTGGATATCGGACATTGATGAGATCGCTGTCATTGGTCGGACGTTGACTCTGCTTAGTTGTTGAAAAGCTTGGAAGGCGACGACCACTTGATCTGCGTTGTTCATACTTCTGTTCCAGAAAGGCATTCCGTTTTTGCGGACTTTGTGGACCATTAGAATGGCTGAAGATCTCTCTGAGAGTTCTCTTAGGTGTAGTGCGTAGACGCATAGTCCTTCGCCTTTCTCTATGCCTCTTGATGCTTCGAGGAGGTTTATTATTGAAGGGATGCTTCCTGCTCCGTGGAAACATGTGAGGATTCTGAGCTGTGTGTTTTTGTTGTCTCGTTCTACCGTCCTGTGTTTGTACTCTCCTTCTTTCTTTGATCTTCTTGCTGGTTTGTAAACTGCCATCACGATTGGTGTGGTGATGAAAGTTGTGAAGAGAGCCATTAGAACCATTATGGCAAATGTCTGATCATTCAGAACCTGAGGAAGAAACCAAAACAGAGAAAAGTTATTATTATACCTTTACGTCTTTCTTGATGGAAATGTGTTTTATTGTTTGTACCTTTCGATCTTTTCCGATATTGAGGACGATGAGTTCGACTAATCCTTTAGTGTTCATGAGGAACCCTAAAGCTACAGCTTCTCTCATAGGTATCTTGAAGGCGAGGGAAACACCTAAAGTACCAACAATCTTACCAAAACAAGCAGTGAAGGTGACTAAAACAAGAAGACCCCAAGACTGAGCTCCTTGAATCGTCGCCACGTTAGTTTTCAAGCCACTCGCCACAAAGTAAAGCGGTAAGAAGAGACCGGAGACAAGATCCTCCACCTTCTCAACGAGTGCACCAGCGAAGGGACCTTCCTTTGGGATCAAAACACCCACCACAAAAGCACCAAACATGGAGTGGATACCAATAGCGTCAGTTATGAATCCACAAACAAGAACTACTGCTAAAGTGGCACAGATGTAGGTTTCTTCAATGGGTTCTCCCTCATGGCACCTCCTCGCAATCCATCTAAAGACTGGAGGAATGATGCAACTAGCAATGACTACAAAAGCACACCCGGCGAGGAAAACCCAAAGAGAAACTAGAGGAGAGGTGCCGGATCCTGAGAGAGCAATGGCTAGAGCAAGGAGGATCCAAGCTGCCACGTCGTTAACAGCAGCAGCAGACATGGCGAGCCGTCCTATCTCAGTAGTCAGAAGCTTGAGCTCAGCCAAGATACGTGCCAACACAGGGAAGGCAGTGATGGAAAGTGCTACACCCATGAAGATGAGAAACGCCACACTGTCTACTCCTTTGGAGATTGTTGCTCTGAGGACAAATGAAGAACCAATGCCAAGAGCAAAGGGGAGAGAGATACCAGCCAGGGCAATCCCTAAAGCCTTTTTACCAGTGTTACGAAGTGATTTGGTGTCAATCTCTAAACCGGCAAGGAAAAGGAAGAAGAGAAGACCGAGGTTAGCCAGAGTTTCAAGAACCGTCAAGCTTTTCTTTGGGAACACAGCGTCTAGAAAGCCCTTGGAGCGGCCAAGAAGAGACGGTCCAAGCATAATCCCACCCTGCAAATCAACCATTCATCATTCACCAAAAAGATTCAAGGAATGTACAGATATGATGAAGGAAAGCTTACAATGACTTCTGCAATGACACGAGGTTGTCTCAGGGGTCTTAGAAGGTAAGCAAGGAGACGAGTGAGAAGGACAACGATGACAATCTGAAGAATGGCAAGAGGTAACGCGAAGTCTATAGGGTTATCGCCTTGGAAAACTCCGTTAGAGGTTGCTTTCATAAAAGCTGGACAAGCTTGCGCAGTTGAAGAATTTGTAGCCATTCTTGCAGATGAAAACAAGAAGCTTCTTTTATTCCCGGAGAAGATGGAAGAAAGTAACTCAACTTCTTTCTTCTAACTCCCTACTAAGAATTGAGAAAAAAAAAAAATGAAGCTTTGATCTAAAATCGTATTTACATTTATATACAAGAGACAATTTAACCACATATCAAAGTGAAATACTTTTACAATCCTTATTTCATTAGAATGACAATAAATTAAACTAGATTCAACTTCTTATCAATCAGATTCTCGCATAAACATTTTAATAAGAAAAAAGAGAGAAGATTCCACTAAACACACATACCACATGCATAGAGTTGCACCAGAGAGATATACTATACGATCTACAACAGCAAAACTAAATTCTTACTTCACCAAAAAGAAAAAAAACTAGGATCGCGAGAAACCTAGAAATTTTCGGAAACTAACTGATTAAAATCAATGCATTATGAAGAGATTTGAGCACCTGGAGAATTCGAGTGAGTCTGATCTCGACTAGTAAAAGAAACGCACTTTGTTATATATGCTGCGCCGACATGTAAAGATCGAAGATGATAGATTCGCAGGCGAAGAAGACGTCAGAAATTAGGAGACTGAAAATAAGTTAGATGGGGTACGACTTAAATAGAGAGAGAGAGAGAAGCGCAGTGTTTCAAAGCATTTGAGCCCTTCTTCTTTATCTTTCTAATCTATCTTATTGAATCTCAAACATGACATTTATTTTTTCCATTGATAAATTAAATACATCTTAATACTTTATAGTTAAAATTATATTAAATTATTAATATGTTTTATATTACTGTTTATGTTATCAAACAATATATTTATTTTTATATTACTATCTATGTTTTCAAACAATATATTTATTTCTTTATACTACTATTCATATTTTCAAATAATATATTCATCTTTTTATTACTTTATACTACTATCCATGTTTTCAAACAACATTATAATTAATCTTATCTTCAAACAATACAAAAAATTAGATTTCATTCTTCTTAATAACTTCTCGTAAATTTTTTCAAATTATTTAGATAAATTAAAAAATTCTAATAATATTTAAAACAACGACAATAAACTTATTTTTACAGTTTTAAATACTACATATTAGTTTTCCATCGATTCAATCGATTAGTTTTGGATTTAGTGATTGTTTAAATATATATTTTCTTAAAAGTCAAAATTGAGTTATCCGATCATCGGATTAACCGCAGTTCAGACTGAATTTAAAAATACTGATTTAAATGCAAAAATATTTTAAATACATAAATTCTTTCAAATACCAAATTATTTATGAAAATATTCATCATAAAATATTTTGCGCTTGCAAAGTTAAAATTAAAGTTAAGTTTGAAGTTGACTTAACCTATTGAAAATATTATGGCCAAAAGTTTTAGAAATTTATATATTATTTGACAACTTTGGAGGATTATTCATCAAAAGTAACTAAATTGTCAATTTATTTTTTTAAAGCAAACATTTAAGTTTGAATTTAATTTTGTACTCCATACAAACGTACGAAATATATATTTTCACTACATAGTTACATCTACATAATACAATGTTAGATACTATTGATGCAAAAGATAATTTTGATATTATTCTTTAAATATAAAATTGAATTGGATAAATTCGAAATATATAAAAATAAATTATATAAAATACATCCAAAAAATAAAACATGCATGGATGCAAGGATCGTGATCTCTTACTTTAATACTTTTTAATGCTTAGTCACTTCTTTTTAACTTTTTTTACTTGTCGCACTTTTTAATTAGTATCAAGTTGTTTTTTGGTATCTCTCTTTCATATTTAATTTTTCTATTTCCGAAAGAGGAGGCCCCAAAGTCAACTTTTGTTTCGGCCTGCATTCAATAATTCATGTGAACAAGTACAATATTTTTTTTGGTCAACATTTTCATTCATTCAAAGATTTTACAATGGCTTAAAACCAGGATACTACATATTCTTGATTATTATACCTGGCTTTGTTTGCTAGATGAACAACATGATGAACTAGGTGTCTAGGTACATGATGGAAACTGAAACTATTTAGTGAGGTTAGTGCTAAGGCCATGTTTATTGGAAGGTTTTTAAGTAGGTTCTTAGTTTCCGTCAAAATACATTTTTTTTATTTTCAACTTAGACAAACTAAGAACGGCTATTAAATCAGAAGTATAAGAACCATTTGTCATCCAAAATGTATATAAAAAAAAATGTCAAATCATGAATTAAAAATTCCGCTTTAAAAAGTTTATTTCCTTTCTTTTTGGATGTCTAATGATATCTTCTCTATTTTCTTGTAACATTCAATAAGTATGTACCGCCTCGAATATTTGTTCGCATCAGTGTTAAAAAAAAAAAATTCCGCTTTAATAGCCTTTAATAAACATGCTGACGATGTCCTTTATTATAGTTGTCACTATGTGAACAAGTATAATATGAGAACAATATAGAATAGATACAATATTATTATCTTTTCTTTTTCTGTCATCTATAAAACCATACCATTAAAATGGTAGTTCTTATGTATACATAAAAGATAGATTTATTGTTGGATTCATCTCTTAAAATGAACATGTAGATTCACTAACAATAGTATTTTGTAGTTCATATCCAATATCTTTACAAAAAAGAAAACAAAATATTACCAAGTTATATTATGTTTTTTTTTTTAAATAAAAAGGTCAAAATAAATAAAAAATAGTAATAGTTACCAATTTTTTTTTTAAAAAAAAATTTTTAACGCTGTCAACAAAACACTAAACTTTTGGAAAAACTTTAAATCTTAAATCAAAAACACTAAGCCCACTAAATCTTAAAAATATTAAACTCTTAATCATAACCCATAAGGATAATCATAATCCATAAACCCTTAGGTAAACCATAAATCCTAAATTTTATGGTTTATCTAAAGAATTAGAATTTAATGTTTAAAATATTAAATATGAAATAACAAAATACGATTAAGAGATGAACCCAAGAATAATTCATTTACTTATAGAGAAACAAATAAATAAATAAAAAAGTCATTGCTTCTATAAGCTGGCCAAATTAAAATTTAGAAAAATTGTTGGATCGATATGTTAAAACTTCCTGAACTTATAAGTCTTAACCTATACTCCTATTGATTCAATTTGTCAGTGATACAAATTGTACATAAGTTAAAAGGAAAACTAATATGAACCAAAGTTATCCTGGTGCAAGTGCTATACGAGTTTACTTTAAATTGCTGCCGTCAACATGTTCATGAATATCCCATCCCTCTTGTTGTTCTTACTTTTATATGGTTGGCATTATGTAAATTTATTTTATCAAAATATTTATCATTTTAATATCAATAACCCTATTAATTCCTGCGATCTTTCTTCTTGCGTTTTAATGTGGGTTTGCATACAATCATATACATATCCCTTATATATTAAAAGAGAAACATTTAAAAAATTGTGACCTCAATTTTGTAATAATTAAAAAAGACCCATGCTTAGGTGTCACTCAATTAGGTAATCAATTAATTTCAATTGAAAAATAAGTAGGTCCACATTAGATTTTTATATGTCGCTAGATACATTTGTTGGTCAAATTATATGATATGATGATATGATATGATGATATGATATGATATGATATTTATGATAGAAGCATTTATGATTGTTCCCATAGATATAATTACTATTTATTTTATTTCCATAAATAAAACGTACGGAATTACCATAAATGACTAATATATATATATGACACTTAATGATTCTAATAATAAATATTTGATAACAGTTTATATATCCTCCATCATTTTTCTTTAATTTTATATTCTTAAAATAAATTAAACAATCAAATTAGTTATAAAATTAAACTTTAGATTTTTTCGTATAGGTTATTTTGAATTTAAAAAAACGAGAATAAATAACTAAACTATTAAAATTATTATGTTAAAAATTAATGATTAATAGTTTAACATTTTTATTATAAAAAGATATACATGATTTTAAAATCATATAAGTAAAAAGTATCATTCAATAATAAAACAAATATATATACAGATTAAACTATATACCATATAAGATTACATAAATATTTTAATTTCAAAATTTTCAATAAATTTTCAAGAACATTTATAAATTATTAAATTTTTCACATTGAAAATTTTTGTTATCAATGATTTAATTGTCTTAGTTCTTTTTAAAATTTTATATTTTTAAAAGATATTAACAATCGATAATATGATTATTTTTGGTATATTCCATACAAACCGAATGAATGTGATTTTATAAAAACCATAGGATTTGGATATGGTTTGATTTATAACCGATTAAACTGAAACATGTAAATATGTATATATTTATAACGACGTATGAATATCTATTTGTTACATGAGTTGAACTATAATTATAATTTTTAAATAGCTAACAATTTATTACAACTGAGACTTCTTATTTTGATCTTTTGTTTTTTTAACAGTAACTAAATTGAAGTAAAGATTATAAATTTGATGGACAGCAATTAGTTGAAATTCTTTACAACTTTTTTCTATCTTTAAACAAACAGAGTTGTGTTCAATCGAAGACATATTGGTTTGACGAACACTAAAAATGGAAGAATATAAAAAAATTTCTTTCATGCTTCTGTTTTGTTTTTTATTTTTATTTTCAAAATTTAGTGTTTTGATATTAATTCTGGATATGATCATTTTATTAGATGATAGAAGCCTTTTTTGTTTTTGTTTCATATCTTCAAATATATAATATTTTTTTAATAAATGACTATGTGACAATATGACTCTAAATATGATCATATTATATATTTGTATAATATATAATATGATCTCAAACTAAATAATTATGTTTTTTGGTATAAAATTGAATAAACTGAAAACCGATGGTATATAAACCAAATCAAACTGAAGTACATATAGATTTAGAATAATAGTTATATTTTAATAATCGAAATACCAAAAAATTGAGCCGAACCAAAACCCGATATCCGGATTGAACACCTGTAATCCGAATGAAACCGAACTATTGTTTCATTTTTCAAAACATAATAAAAATAATAGCTTTATCCCGCGCAAGGCGCGGGTCTTATCCTAGTACAACTTGTTATTACTATATTATGGCTTTGATTCATTCATATGGGATTCATTATGGCTTTTACTCATACGGGCCATCCTTCAATTATATTTAAAGTAATTATGTGATCTTTGAAGCCGAAAGAAGTCATTATCATTTTTAAAAAAAAAATATATTATTAGTGTTAATGATGCAATGCAAAATCTATGAACAAGTGATGTTATTCATATTTTACTATGTCAAAGGCATATATAATAATTCAATAAAAGCTCAACAACATGATTATCAATGATTGTATCAGTGTATGTGTACGTTTGCTCTCGAGAACAAGGTGCGACGGACAAGGAGGTTTGGTTGAATCTCCACTCTACACAGTCAATATGTGAACTGAATCTAATAAAATACATAGATCAAGAGAGAAATGTATAAAACTGATCTTGTATTCAAACTCGTCAAATGTATAATCCGATATTTACAAGTATATATACTGTTAACTAAACCGA